AACGCTTTGGGAACTCCACTGTCTTAGCAGAGTCCATTCCCATTGCTGAATTCCAAGGGCGGCCCATTGCCGATCACCCGGCGGTTAAGTACGGCCGGCCCCCGGGCATCCTCCGTGTCCCCCGTGAGCCACTCGATGCTGCCACCGTTGCTGAAGCCGTCTCTGTCATATCTTGCTGGTAAGCCCGTATTTCGAACAAGGGAATTTATAGGACTATATATTTTTATTTTCCAATGGAGGACTATTGGACATTAGTCATTTGTCATCATTCAAGTAAATGTCCCTTATCACTGGAGAACAGGTATGAAGACAAGACGGAGTGGGGGGATAGGGTGGGGTGGATTTACGGGTCGGTGACGGAGGATGTGGTGACCGGATACCGGATGCATAACCGGGGCTGGCGCTCCGTGTATTGCATCACCAAACGGGATGCTTTCCGGGGTTCCGCCCCGATCAACCTCACGGACCGCCTCCACCAAGTTCTCCGGTGGGCCACCGGGTCCGTGGAGATCTTCTTCTCGAGAAACAACGCCTTCTTCGCGTCCCGGAGGCTCAAGTTCCTCCAGCGTTTGGCGTACCTCAACGTCGGAATCTACCCATTCACCTCCATCTGCCTCCTCGTCTACTGTTTCCTCCCCGCCCTCTCGCTGATCTCCGGCCACTTCATCGTCAAGAACCTCAACATTGCCTTCTTGCTCTACCTCCTCACCATCACCATATGTCTCATCTCTCTGGCCCTCTTGGAGGTCAAGTGGTCCGGCGTTGGTCTAGAAGAGTGGTGGCGGAATGAGCAGTTCTGGCTCACTTCCGGCACCAGCGCCCACCTTGCCGCCGTCGTGCAGGTACTGGCGCACATACTTATGCTCTAGTTGAGTCAAGTGACACCTAAGTGATTTTTTTGAGTATTTGTTGGGGAACTTTTTCAATTAAACTACCACACTTGAAATTTAAAAAAAGAAAAATTTGTACTCCCAAAATAGGACTTAAATTTATTTATTCCCTAAATAGGACTTAATAATGTCCTAGAGAAGAAATAATGTCCAGTGATGGAGGACATTTACTTGAATAATGACTAATTAATAATGACCAAGGGTCTTATATTGAGAAATAAAAACATATATGTTTCTATATTGAGAAAGTTATTATATTTTAGTCCTATTTAAGTAAATTACTCCTTCCCTCCGTCCAAAATAAAGTTTAACAATTTTTTTTTTCATTCTAAAAAAAATTACTTTCCATTTTTTTGTGAGAAGTTTGGTTGAGAATGTTGAAAAATGTTTTGCCAAAAAGAGGACAAATTCCTCTAAATAAGGTTAATTTTCCGTTGACTATTATTTTTCGAGATAGCCAAAAGCGAAAAAAAATGAACATATAAAAGTCATTTTCTCCATTCCAAATAGGAAACTCTAGTCTCAAATGTTTGTTTTTGAACTTTTCTAAACAAATTTCTGTAACTGATTCTAGGGAAATTTGTGTAAATTTTAGATAATTTGTTATGAAACTTTTGCCTTCATGTTTTTTTTTTCTGAAGTAGCTATTACATGTAATTAACCTCACTAATTATCTCATTATAATAACCCGCAGGGACTTCTCAAAGTCATTGCCGGCATCGAAATATCCTTCACCCTCACTTCCAAATCCGCCGGAGAGGACAACGACGACATCTACGCCGAGCTGTACCTCGTGAAGTGGAGCTCGTTGATGATCCCGCCGATAGTCATCGCGATGGTCAACATCATCGCCATCGTCATCGCCTTCTCGAGGACCATCTACAGCCCGATCCCGCAGTGGAGCAAGTTCATCGGCGGCGCCTTCTTCAGCTTCTGGGTTTTGGCCCACCTGTACCCCTTCGCAAAGGGCTTGATGGGGAGGAGGCGAAAGACGCCGACGATTGTTTTTGTGTGGTCGGGTCTCATCGCCATCACTCTCTCCCTCCTCTGGATAGCCATAAGCCCGCCCAAAGGCGGAGCTACAACAGCAGATCAACTGGGTGGCGGTGGTGGTGGTGGTGGTGCAAACTTTCAATTCCCGTAAGCGTGAAGAATGCGATTTTTCTGAGCATTACGTATCGTGCTCTGTTCGACACCGAAGTGGTTCATAACCTCCTCCAAACACCCATTGTATTCAATATGAGGGGTAGGACACACTTTGGGATGGAACGCAGATTGCTTTGGGTGTCATGAAATGACACCCAAAGTAGATGTATGTCCAAAAAAAATCAAAATGTATATTATGTCCTAATTTATTATTAATGTTTGGAACATGTGATAACCTTTATGATGGAGGCTTGGGCCTCATACATTTGAGCCTAAATGCGCTAGATCATGCTCTACTAAATAAAGAAAAATGTTAGAGTGCCCAATGATTGCTACCAAGAATGCACTCATGCTTCGCACATATGATTATCATTTGTGTCGCATGTGTGATTATCATTTATGTCGCACAGATGATTATCCACTGTGTCACCTGTGCGAAGCATGTGTGTACCCTTGATAGCAACCATTTGGGTACATCTTAGCATGACCCTAAATATAGACAATGATCAAAAGAAACGGTCAAGGGTAGTGCGGGCATGATCGCGAGTCCTGAGCTTGCCTCCAAAAGCGGTTGTTTGAAGCCCCGATTGCCAACGAGGAGGACGACCTACACCATTAGTCATTCTTGACGGTCTTACTCGTAGACAAACCGCACATCCACACCCATACGAATAATAGCATTGGTCTAAATAAAAAAGGTAGAAAGTCAGTTCTGAGACAGATGAGATAGTTAATACTCCCTCTGTCCCAGTGTATTTGTCTAGTTTGACTTTTTCGAGTCAAACATGACAAACTTTGAGTTTCAATTAATTAAAAACCGTAATGTATTTTAACATAAAAATGACTTTATTGGATTTATCGTATTGAGAATTTTCAAAATTGTATTTCATTATGCCAATATTCAATATAAATTAAGATTAATTCGAGTACAAAGTTTGTCCTGTTTGACTTGAAAAAATCAAACTAGATAAATAAATTGGGACGGAGGTACCAATATTTAATTTGTACAAACGTTATCTTTTATTCACAAATTTCAAGCAAATTTACAAAATTTTAACTCATAAAAATCAAATGATCCGAAACCAAAAGTGAAGCATGAATGCATGATTACCGTTGTACGCCAACAAAAGTAGTAAAGTAGAAAAAAAAAGTGAAGCCCAATAGATTGTGATAAAAAGTGGCCAAAAGTGTTTTCCTAATGACTAAATAATTCATCCATTTTGATGAGAGTGGAATAATGGCGTGGCTCCATCAAAAATGTTTTTTAGACCATAGTGCAATGCTTCTTTGTTTTTTTTTTCAGTTTGATTAAAAAGGGTTGCCCTATATGCTTCCCTACAAATTAAAAACACTCCATTGTAACTTTTTTATCATACTATATCTGTTTGGATATATTCGTGGAATTTGATTTTTTTTTGAATCGGAGTAAGAAGAGAAACAGTTTACATTTTTATGGACCAAAGGAGAAACAAAAAAAATGAAAGGAAATCTAGAAATTAAATGGGCTATATTACTCCTTGTGTTTGGAAACTTAGTGCCAATGAGCCCCTCTATCAAACTTAAGTCGTCGGAACGTGAAATTCAAACACGAAGCGGAAGTGACATACGTGCAACATTTTGAAACTATGACAATTTTATGTGCAAACTTTGAAAAGAGATGTGATGGGTTATTAGTCTCCATTTTCTAAATCACATGGGGGCTTTGAAGTTATTTATCCCAACTTTGATCTACTAATGTTTCTTTACAACTCAAGAAAGTTTGTCTTGCTATTGCAACGGAGTATATCTTTGTCCAAGAGCATTAGTTTAGTTTTTATTTTTTTTACAGTTAAAATTGATAAATTATTAGGTATTGATACAAGAGTATTTCATTAGATTTATTCTAAAAATCTTTTCAAAATATCTCTTTATCTAATTAATATAGCATGTACTCCGTATATTATTTCTATAATATATAATTTCTATAATTTTTTAATATACAAATCACAAGATAAAATGGATTAAAGAAGTGCATTGGATGCTGTGCAAAAATGAAAGTGGACAAAAATAAATTATTTGAAAAATAAATTTGAACTGAATGCAAAATATAATTTGAAGTGAATGCAAAATATTAAAATTGGATAAATATTCTAAAAGTAAAGATTCATCTCTTTAAATAATTGAAGATAAATTATTGAGACTTCTCATCAATAAAAGTTGCCTTCAATTCTATATTTGACGACAAGACTCCACTCTCTCTCTCTCACACAGATAGTCCACACTCCACACTTCGCTAGCATCCAAAACCAAGAACCCCACAAGGCAACTTTTGTTTGTTAAGAAAATCAATGTTTTTTTTCATCTTTGATTGGTACACATCCAAACTCAAAAATTTTGAATAGAAATTAATGCCGAATTGGTAGCTCAATTTGTCTAAGGATAGGATCTCACACCAGTTGATCCTAGAGCTCAATTTAGGCAGCGGCAGTGTGGGAATTCTCTTATGAAATATTTGCACTAAATAGCACTAAAACTTAAGTCATTTCTCTAAATAGCACTTAAATTATTTTATTCCCTAAATAGCACTTAATAATGTCCATAATGTCCTGTGATGGCAAATATTTGCTTGGATAATGACTAAAAGTGCTACATTGGAAAGAAAAACACATGCGGTGCTATTTGGAGAAAGTCATTATGTTTTAGTGCTATTTAAATAAATTTCTCTTTTATTATTTATAATAGCCCCTTGTGCATACTGAACTTAAACAGTTACTTTAAGATTATACCATAATTTACTCCTCTCGCAATCCTATAGGGCTGGGGTGTGGGAGAGAGCCTGGGTGGGCGTCCCACTTTTTTGAATGGAAATATATATGTGAATGAATACACACGTACGCTTGCACTCATTCACCTTCATCCATTTCAATCAATAATGCTCTCAATCATATATCACACTCATATATATATATACGTACAATATAATATACCGAGTATATATTATCCATATATTATCACACCTCCCAAATCTCCATTATATTATATCCCTTCCACCATACACTACAAATTAAATTAAACATGTTGTAATGATAATATTAAACAATATGGCTCTTCTTCACCAAGCAACAACTTTCCTCATCCTCCTCTTCCTATTCTCCTCGTCTCATGCAACCTTAGACGGAGACTATGATAAACAGTCCGAGTTCTTCGCTCTGATGAACGAATCCCTCACCGGAGACAGCATGATGCATTGGTGGCGGGGTGGCAAGACCGCCGCCGTGTGTGACTACGGGGGAGTTGGCTGCGACGGAAAAGGGCGCGTCGTGGAACTCGACGTCTCCGATTGGTCGTTGTCCGGCGAACTCCCCGACGATCCGTGCTCTTATCTACCGGAGTTGAGAATCCTCCGGCTCGGCCGCAACGACTTCCGGGGAGAGTTCATCCCGAGCATCGCCAACTGCTCTTTCTTGGAAGAGCTCAACGTGAGCGGAGCGTATCTCCGAGGGCCGTTGCCCGACTTCTCGCGTCTTCGGGCTCTGAGGTCGCTCGACCTCTCCTACAATCTCTTTGGGGGTGATTTCCCCGTGTCCTCGGTCATGAACCTCAGTAATCTAGAGTTCTTGAACATCAACGAGAACACGGGGTTCAACCCGTGGGAAATGCCTGAGAGCATTTCCCAGCTGAGGAAACTCAGGCATGCGATTCTCACGAGCTGCATGTTGGGAGGAAGAATCCCCTCGGAGATTGCGAACCTCACGTCCCTCGTGGATCTTGAATTGAGCGGGAACTCCCTCGTGGGAAGTATACCCCCCGAGCTCGGAAACCTGAAAAGCTTGGAGCTTCTCGAGCTTTACTACAACCAGCTCGAGGGCGATATACCTGAGGCGCTTGGGAACCTCACTCGACTCCAGGATTTAGATTTGTCCGTCAACGCGTTAACGGGGAAAATCCCAGATTCGGTATGCTTGCTTCCGAGACTAGAGTCTCTACAAGTTTACAATAACTCTCTCTCGGGAGACTTCCCGATTTCTCTCGCGAACTCTACCACTTTGAGAATCTTGTCCCTTTACACCAACCGCTTGACGGGTGTCGTGCCTCAGCACTTCGGGGCATTTTCTGCCCTCGGAGCCCTAGACTTGTCGGAGAATGAAATCTCGGGAGAGTTACCCCCGCAGTTGTGTTCGCGGGGGAAGTTGAAATACATCCTCCTACTCCAGAACAAGTTCTCTGGAACTATTCCAGAGAGCTACGGAGGATGTTGGACGCTTGTCCGGTTCAGAGTCAATAACAACCATTTGGTTGGAGAGATACCGGAAGGGATACTCGGCCTTCCACAGGCTTCCATCGTCGATGTGAGTTACAATCACTTGACAGGTCCAATCTCGAGAACGATTGCAAATGCTAAGAACCTGTCACAACTATTGCTCCAAGGTAACAACATTTCGGGCACGCTAGTGCCCGAAATTGGAGGAGCAATCAATCTCGTGAAGATTGATTTGAGCAACAACCGCTTGTCAGGGCCAATACCCCGAGAAATCGGGAACCTCAAAAGGCTCAACGTGTTGTTTCTACAAGGAAACGAGCTCAACTCTTCCATTCCTGACTCGCTATCTTCGCTTCCTACACTAAACGATCTCGACCTCTCTCGCAATCTTCTGACCGGAGAAATCCCCGCGAGCCTCGTCCGACTACTACCAAACACCATGAACTTCTCAAACAACATGCTCTCGGGTCCTATACCGATCCCCTTCGTAAAGAGCGGGTTGCGCGAGAGCTTCTCGGGAAACCCTTCTCTATGCCTTCTAGAGCCCTTTTTAAACTCATCATACACGAACCTCTCGCTCTGCGCAAATGCCCGTCATCTAGCCAAAAGGAAGAGGACAATCGCGCTCTTTTGGATCGTCGGGGTTTCTGCAATGATTACCCTGCTCGGAACCGTCTTGCTCGTGAAGCAATGGCGGGAAAACCGAAAGGAGAGGGGCACGCAATCGGAAACCTTATACGAAGTCAAGAGCTTCCACCGGGTGAGCTTCGAACCACGAGAAATCTTCGAAGGCATGGTGGATAAGAACATAGTGGGCCACGGAGGGTCCGGGACCGTCTACAGGGTCGAAATGAGCACGGGAGAGGCAGTCGCAGTGAAGAAGGTGTGGAACCACAGGGGAAAAAGTCATTGTCGGGAGAAACAGGAGGACAAAGAGGTCGAGACGCTAGGAAACATCAGGCACAAGAACATCGTGAAGCTATATTGCTACTACACGAGTCGGAAGTCGAGGTTGTTGGTCTATGAGTACATGAGGAATGGGAATCTGTGGGATGCCCTTCACAGGGGAAAGATCCTCATCCAATGGCCGACGCGTTACGGGATCGCCCTCGGCGTGGCGCAGGGCCTCGCCTACCTCCACCACCAACTTCTCCGGCCGATCATCCACCGGGACATAAAATCAACAAACATTCTTCTTGATGGTGATTACCTTCCCAAAGTTGCAGACTTTGGGATTGCCAAAGTTTTGCAGGCAAGAGGAGGGAGAGATTCGTCCTCCACAACTCTTATTGCAGGAACATATGGTTACTTGGCCCCAGGTATTTTGATTCAATCCTCTTTTAGTTCATAGTGGTCTTCCTCCTAACAAATTAAATTTTATAAATTCTTTTTTTCAACAAGAATTAATATTATACTCCCTCCCTCTCAAATTAATTCTTCTAGTTTGAATTTGTAGAGTTTAAGAAAAGTAAAATTGCATGGTTAAAAGTAATGTAGAAAGGAGAAAAAAAAAGTGAGCTACGAAAAACTTTCTAAAAAAAGAGGAAGATTAATTTGGGATAATCTAAAAAGAAAATATGAAGGATTAATTTGGGACGAGGGGAGTAGTAATATACATCACAAAATTGGTATATTTTAATTAAATAACATTATAGCTACCTTAAAAAACAAAATTTCAAAGGTTTTATAAATGTTTTTAAAAAAATTATTCAATTTTTTTAAATGTTTTATTTAAAAATAAAAATAAAAATTGCTTGGGCCTGTAGGGCACCTTGGCGCACCCTTGGGCCGGCCCAGCGCCTGTCACAAAAATTGTTTTTATTTGAATCTTTTGTAGTCAAAATTAAAAAAAATGGCTACAAAATTCGAAAAGAATATATTAAATAGATAATGTAAATTTGATATCATTTTTGGTCGGGCCCTAATGAGTATATGTTAGAGTCACAAACAAATGGTTTACAAAATTCACAAACTTGTCTTTTTAACATTTTCCTAGAAATAAAATACACTCAAATAATAAAAGATATTTTAATTTAAAATCCAGAAAAAGCAAGTTTGTGAAGTTTGTGAGTTATATGTTTGTGACTCTAGCATTTTTCCGTTCTGGATCTTCCACTACGAACAAATCATATATTCCGTACGTTCTCGTTTCGTTGAATTCTTTACAATTGATACATATTCCTAAAGTTCGTCTTTTGGGGTGATGCTTTTACATTAGAATGTGCATATTCTTCAAAGGCAAGCACCAAGTGCGACGTGTACAGCTTCGGTGTCGTTTTGTTGGAGCTCGTAACGGGAAAGGAAGCGGTGGATATAGAATTCGGAGAGAACAAGAACATAGTGCAATGGATTTCGACCAAGGTGGGAACCAAAGAAGAGGCCTTTGAGGTTCTGGACAGGCGTGTGGCGGGCGCCTTTGGGGAGGACATGATGAAGGTCCTCCGGGTCGCCGTACATTGCACGCGTAGGACGCCTGCCCTACGCCCGACCATGAACGACGTCGTCCAACAGCTCGTCGAGGCGGATCCCTGCAAGTTCCATTGTTGCCACTTCCCAAATAAGAGCAAAGACTTGGAAGATTGTCATCCAGCCAAAGGATATGGTGTGTGTGATGGCGTGTAATGGCCTCATGGGGAGAGTTTTTTTTGGAAGTATGCAATGATAGCCTTACTTGAATTCAAAAATAAGTTCCATTTTTCATGTTATCCTTTTGTGTTTGATATGGACAAAAGAACTCTCACTCTGTTTGAGATGATGGATGTATATATATATTTATATATTATCAGACAATTGAAACCAAAAAATTTTATCTTAGAAGAAAAAAAGAGGGTTATTTAGGGCAACTCAAAAAAGAGTAGAGCATGTTTTCAAGTTTCAATGGTTAATTTTGAAAACACCAAACCTAGTTATTCTAATCAGTAAAACTTTTGAAACTTTAAAGCTAAACTCTGAAAGTGTACTTAATTTGTCATGTAATATATATTCTATCTGTCAAAGTTCAATTTTATTCATTTCTTTTTCATATTTTCATTATTTATTTGATAAAATAATAATGAAGTTATGTTTCCTCATTTTTGCAAATGTAGCAAATTTTATGGTGAACCCAAAATCTTGATTTAAAAAAAAGTTATATGAGAAGCTTCAAAAAAATGGTCTGCACCAAAGGTGTACCATAGAAGTATCCTTCGTAAATCTTTTGATATTGTTTTCTAATATGTAAATCTTATTTTTTAAATTTTATCTTAATTTTCAAATAATTTATACTCCTATAAAATATAACTTTAATCAAGCATCGTATATCGAAACACGGGATATTATAATCTCAAAAAAACGTTCAATTGATAAAGTCCAAAGTTGGAACTCAATACTCCAAATTTCAAATATTAGACTTTAAATTTTAGACTTATTTAAATAAAAAAATGAAACGAAAAAAGAATACAATGAGTTGACAATACTATAATTTGTGTCTTCTTATTCACCCATTCTTTATGTTCTTTTTTTGTGCGTCTCTTGTCTTTTTGTTTTAACTTTTAGTTGTGCAGATTTTTTTTCTTCGGCTGAAATTAACTTTTTACTCTTTCATGCATATATTAACCCATAATTCTTAATAAAAAGATAATAAAGAATATACGGAGTATATATATTTTTCTCTTGAATTCATTTTAGCCAATCCAATCATGCCATAGGCTCATGGCCCATTGCTGGATCCAGCCAGCAAATCTCCGGCCCAGAAAAGGAATCTTCAGTATTGGACTTGCCCGGCCCAGAATCTGAAAACTCAGTCCAATGCATTTGGTCCAGCGCAGGCCTTCAGTATTGGGCTCCAAACCCACTGGACCAGAAACCTCCGGCCCATTCTCCCCCTCATATTGTACGTACTCCCTCTTTGGTCCTTCATAACCTGGCCTATATACCCGCCGCCGCCGCCGGTGCCGTACAACCCCTCGCACAGATCCCCAATCTCCGTCGGCGCCGTCGGGTCTTCTCCGGCGTACCAAGCGTTCACCAGCGGATTCGACGACATCTCCGCCAGCTCGTGCGCTATCACGCTGATCATCCCGTCGACGCCGGCGTCGCCGTTCGGGGCGGCCAACGCGCCCGGCCCGCCTCCGCCCATGTACCCGGGAACGGCGAACGGGTACGCGCAAACTTCGGGACATTGCTTGCCGGAATTCCCGATCCAGGCGTACGGCAGCGTGTACCCCACCTTGGACGAGAAGGTGAAGTAATGGAACCCGCAGACCGCCCGGCAGTAATCCTGCACGGTGACGTCGACGGCGGTGAGGACGAGGTAGATCCCGTTCCGGTGGTCGATCGAGAAGGGTTTCGACCGGACCGCCTCCGCAATCACGTCCTGAATCGAAAGGCGCGTGAGCTGCTTCCCCTGGGAGCACCGGCGATCGGAGTACTCATCGGCGATTCGGACGGACCGAGATATGTTCGCCCCGGTCTGGTCGGCGTAAAGCGTGACGGTGCGCCACCACTCCGCGACGGAGGGGGAAGGGACGTCGGAGGCGGAGATGGAGGCGAGGAAGTCTCTGATGATTACCTGCTGAGAAGGGGCCCAATTGCCGTACCAGACAAGATAGATGTTGATCGGAGAAGAGAGAACAGGGCCCATGTGATACCGGAGTTGGACGAGGTCCGACGAACCCTCGTACTTGTCAGACTGAGTGAAAGCCCTGGGCGGAAGCTTGGGGTTCGTGTACTGGAACCCCGGCCGGAGACTTTGAACGCCGCCGGATTTCGCCGGAGAAGCATGGCACCGAACAAGAAGCGCCGCCGAGAAGACAGAAAAGGAGAATAAGAGCGAAAGGGTCCCTCTCATATTGTATTTAGTAGGGTATAATACAAGGAGGCGGGGGGGAAGAATGGAAAGAAATGAAAGAATTATGCAGAGATATATAATGGGGAGGAAGACGACGGAGGAGAAGAGGGAGGCAGTTGGGATGGAAGGGGCGGTGTGAGAGTGATAGGGGAGTGGGGAGTGTTCTGGCTCCAGCTGCAAATACATAAATAACCTTACTGGGTACTATGGATTACAGTGGTACTTTATTGTTTGCTCAAGGGTACTTTCAAACCCAATCTAACACGAGATAACATAAATTGGATTTTAATTGTAGATTGGTGTCAAAAAGTAAAATATACAACTAGTAGTTGTATAGATTCTATGATTATCATTGTTGTCTCCCAACGCAGTTGTTGGAAATCGAAATCGGGTCTTACTTCTCTGACATCTCTTGTCTTGCGAACTACGCAACGCCCACCGACAAAAGTCATGTTGTCTTGATTATCTTCCTTGGTCGTGAAAAGAGAGCTCTTTTGGACGTGCGGCCATCCATTGTGACAGTCTGTCGTTTCGGATCAAATTAACTATTTTTAGTTTTCAACTCAATAAATTTAATACATCATCAACTTTAATTTCTTGTAGAATTTTAGAATGGAACTAAAAATTAGTAGAATGTTGATGCGACTGGAATTATGGGGGTAAGAAATACTCCCATTGTAAATGCTCTTGGGATAATTTCTCCAAAATAGAAGCGAAAAAGAAATTAAAAGGTTGTTATGGTTATGCTAAGTTTGACATGAAAAATTGATATTACGGATTACGGAGTATTATATATTCCATCAATTTTTATTTGTCTCAATTAAATTGCTTGTTTTTTATTCAAAATGATTGTGTAAATAATCACTCGGGTATATAACTCTAGACTGGGTCTAAAGTGATTTACAAAGGTTAAGAATTAAGAAAACACGGTAAATAGAGATTTACCAGGAACATTGTAGGTAGAAACACCTATAGTCTAATTTTTATAAATTATAGAGAGGAGTACATGAAGGATTTACACAATGTGCTTTCTAGATAGAGTAATAAGATCCCTTCTTTTGAGGGTTACAAGAGCAATTTTAGGACAGAATGGGGGGCAAGGTGCTGCTCGCCCCTGTTGAGCCATGTGACGAGGTGACACTTTCTTGTCTTGTGGTGTTTGTCTTCTTCCAAGTTTGACATTAACTGTGTCTTGTCGTGTAGCGTTTCGATGTATCCGTTGGTGTAAAGGATTTGATTCCTTCTAAACCTACCTTCCAAAATATGTTGAGTTGTGACGTACGCGTGATTCCCAACAAAGCACCCAGGGGTGGATCTTCCCAAAAGATCACGTGGCTGGTTAATGGATTTTCTCTTCTAGACTTGCTTTCTTGTGGAATATGTCAAGGGTCCAAAATCCACCCGGGTGGTTGCTACCAACCCGGTCAGTTTGGTTTCCTCCTCTGGAGTTGTTCTTTGGTCAACCCAATAGACAGTTGTAGCATGTGACCCAGTTCATCTCCTAGTTGGGAATACACCCATCACACAAAGTGAAACTCTATTCACTTTCTTCTTGAGAAATCCTCCTAGGTAGTACTATAAAACCACCAATATTACATAAATAGCATTCCCATAATTTTTTGACTTAAATGTGAATTCTAGCATGAAGGCATTAGGACTATACTCTTTTAATAATTTTTTGACTTTCTTAGTCTTAAGAGTTGAGTTATTCTCTTTCCATGAATGTATCGGTTATGTTTTATGAATTCTTTACAAAGCCATGTTGCTCAAACTCTCGATGACAGGAGTGTGGCTGCAATGGTGGTTGTGTGACTCGGGTGGTGGTGATCGTGATAGTAGTATGATAATGACAATGAAAATTTGGCAGGATAGTGGTCATGAGGTGGCAAGGTTGGAAGTACGATGGGGATGGCCGTGTGGTCATAGTGATGATGATTGTAGTCGTCACGGTGATGATAATAGTATTGCGACAGGGAGGCAGTGCAGTGGTGGGAGAGACAATATGGTGGTGGAGGATGAAAAAGAATAGTAAATCTAAGTCTTTTACTAATGATGGAAAAATATTTCTTTGCCCCTTTCTCATTAAAAGAAATGACAAATAAGAGATTTTTATAAATAAAAAAAATTATTTGACTCAATAAACCCTAACAATATTATTTTAATGGTCCCCCCTCTACTATTCCCAATCAAGAATTTTAATTGGAATGTCAGAAGGACAGAGTGGCCTAGAAGAAAAATAGATTAGGGTAGAGCATAATATTCCTATACTGAAAGTCATTTTTCATAGGGTCTTCAAAATGGAGACTTTTGGGTACAAATTATTGAAAGTCTCAACATCCATCCCCACAGCTTGGGAGACACTTGCTTTGCCTTGGACTTAGCCCATAGGGCTCTGGCGGTGAGCCGGTGACATTAAAACCACATGCTAATACACTACTTCCTCCCTAAATAAATACTCAATTTTTACCTAGTTTGAGAAAAAAAATTAATTTGTTCTCTGTATTGTAGAGTGGAGACAAACTTGAAATTATAATTAAAGTGGCTAGCATTAACCTTCTCATTCTAAAAAAAACTAGAAGAGATGAATCAGGATTTTTCGTCTTTCGGGTTCGTAGGTGCTTATAAACTTCTATGCACAAAGAGTGACCCCAAACTCATTAATCTTCAAGTCTCTAAGATATCATTCTAAAAATCTTAGAAGGGATAAATTATGACTCTTTTTCGTCTTTCATGTTCTTACATGCTTATAAACTTCTACACACAGAGTCATCCCAAACTCATTGATCGGTTCTTCATTTTAGTTGGCTAGCATTAACCTCGAGCCCCCACACCCAGCCAAACGAGTATGTAGGAGGTAAATCAGAATCCAGTGGCCCGTTAAAGGGGGAGGCTCACCCCACAGACATGCAAGGAGCTCATTCTTACATTCCAAACTGGGCTCAAAGTATCACTTCTACACTACACACTCCAAGGAATCGAAGTTGCGCCATATTGCAAATCCACCCCTTCCGGAACCAACTTAGCTACTCATGCGGGCAACATTAACCTTATTTCAACCTTATTCCTAGTGGTGGTGCTTCCAAGTTCCGGTTGGACATCATTATAATTTTTTTCCAAATGACAAACATTTTTTACGCCATCTTGTTTCTAGTTGAAATAATTATCGAAGTGGCCAGCATTAACGTTTTTTTTCTTCCCATACATGAAATATATGCGCTATAGCATCCATGTTGTTATAGGCATATAACAGACATAAACTATAGCATCCATGAACATTTCAGACAAATGATGATGAAGCAGAGTTTGAATTTGTATACACAGTATCCAGATAATAACATCCCATGTATGCATACCTTAATTTATCTCATAAGCAAACAGACTTGCTATGCAGTACTACTCTTCGTCTCAATTCGTTGTATCTACATCAACTGGACAGGTAAATTAATAAAATGAACCACATAATATTTTCTATATGTGAAAACGTGTGCAGTAAATTGAGACGGATAAAAAAAAAGGAAATCATGCACAACAAATCAAGAAACGGAGAATTTCCCTAGATTAACCTCAAATTTCATACCTCTAGTTGCCTTAGTTGACCGCCCTCTTCCCAAACATGGCTTTACCGACCCTAACTCTTTGGGGTTATGGCACACCGTGCACATAAGGGTTTACACATATCATGGCCACAATAAAAGTATGTGTTTCAAGTCCACAAAAACGTGATTTTTATATTAACTCAAAACTTCAAAAGTAGCTGAAGTATTTATATTACATAGATACATAGATACATACAATGGAGTTTTACATATCTTACATGGGCCAGAGCATATGATAAAGCCTTTGCTGCATCATTACTCTCATTCCTGTACACAAAATACTTCATTAAATAAACCAATGTTGAAACTTGTGCTTAAGACTTGAGATTTCAGTGAATAGTGATAAATTCTTGTCATACTTAGGGATCGTTTGGGTGAATTGTCCACCTCTGCTGGTCCCGTGATTTTAGGTCATTCCCACATTTGGTCCCAGTTCATTTTTTTTTCATTTTTGGTGCATGAATATAATTTTTGTCACTTTTGTTTTTCTTCGCTCAGTCGCTTTGTAAAATTTAGAAAAGAATGCCTAGAGATATAGAATTGGAGTAGTTGGGTGGACATGTGAGACTAAATTTGTAGTTTTTGCTGGTTTGGTTTTTATGCCATATATGTGGTGTGTGATTCGTGTGCTTTGCATCTAGTTGTTAGAGTCGGTATGTGTGCTTCCAGGGAGGATGGGGGCTATATCACCACCGAGGCCTCTGTATTTTCAACGATTTTAGGGCAATTGTGCCCCCCCCCCACGAGCTTGCAATCCTCCCTCCCCCACTAGATAAGTCTTGCGCACACTCACCCTCCCCAGACCCTACATTGAGTGGAATTCTAGTAGGTTCACTTGTTATCACTCAGTGAAATTTAAACGAAAACGATATGAAAATTGGCTGGATGAGTGATCAGATGAACAAAACTGACAAGAAATACAGGAGGAAAAATGCAAGTCCATGGACTAAATATTTCATCTTATAATTTCAGTTCAATAGAGATTTCCATTTAACAATACCTTATACATGATGTGTTTCTTCAGAAGCTAATAAGCTGCTGGTACATCTCTCATACTGATATTCAAACTGTTTCTCATTGTTCGTCTTCCAACACCCGTGTTTCCTTTTGTCATCATCGCAACAAATTCTCCATAATCAATCCGTCCATCCTGGAACAAGACAGCAAAAAATGCAATTTAATGGCACATTACCTACACTAGTTAAACAAAAGAATGGTCATACACTCATACTAGCAGAACATTTGGTAAATATGTTTTCCCCTTATCAGCCATAGCTATCATGAAGCACTTTAACTTGTTTCACTATGCTAGGTGAATGTGATGATAACGGTAGACAGTAGTGAAGAAGTTACCTAGGCTGAAATGACTGCTCGTAAACAAAATGACATTTCTACCCTTTCATTTTTAGATACCAGGGTATTATTTTGTGCAAGTAATTTATTATGGAGAAAATATAGTTCAATTTTTTAGCTAGTTGAGCATATTTCAATCATTTCATATACGCTTTTAGCAAAACCAGCAATTCACAGCCAATTAGGCTATTTTAAGATTACCAAACAGGCTACTACAATTAGAATATGTATCACACCATTAGGGTGGGGCCCTTCCCCAGAACATAGCTCAACGGGATGCTTTGTGTACTGGGATGCCCGTACCATAAAACAATATAGAATGATCTTTAGAATAGATTTCCCAGAATGAATGGAATTGACTGACCCGCTGAACCAAGGGGTGAGCCAATAGCACGGACAGATAGTCAGTTCAATTCAAATCTATGCTAAGAGCCTAAGAATATGGCTTTAATAAATAGCTGTGACTGCTTGATCTTAACTTACATTGTCTTGATCAACCTCTCTGATTATATCTTCAAAGAAAACATCGGTCATGTTGTGTTCCACACAAGCTTGTTGGAGCTCATCAATAGTGATATAGCCACTACCATCCTTGTCAAAATACTTAAATGCTGCAACAAGATGTTCTTCACGCTCTAATTTGTTAAGGTGAATAGTTGCTGCTATGAATTCTCCATAATCTATGGTGCCGCTGTTATCCACATCAGCCTATCAAAATATAAAAAATATTTCAGCAATTTGACAGTTGACGAGATCTTAAGGATCCATTTCAAATCCAGAAAATACTAGGGAGGGAAAATGCATAGGAAATTGGAAAGGAAAAGAAATCTGGTGGTAAATAAATGATAGAGTCAAACTTGAATCTTTCAGTTCAATACTTTTTCTTGAGTCATTTTATCTATTTATCTATGTCATTTCCTTGGAAACAATCTCTCTACTTTGAATTAGGGGTAAGGTCTACGTACACATATCCTCCCCAAACCCCACTCTTATGGGATTATACTGGTTTTGTTGTTATCTCCGTCATTTCCTTTGCCATTTCCAAGGCAAAGCCAATCATAAGAAAATAACTTCTCTAAGCAATCTCTGTCCTTTCTCTAGCAATCTCTGTGATCCAATATCTTAAGGACAGAAAGCATCAAAGTGGATATGCTTTTTAGACAATAATGCATAAGCTACATAAAGCTCTGAGTATGACATGCACATATCTAGATAAAAGCTGCTGTCAATAGTTTATTCAACAGGATCAAATACATTCCAGGTCAGGGAAAAAAACTAATAATTGACGTTTGAATCAAAATAGCAAAGTATTAACCAGGGGTATGTTTGGATGGAAGAATTTGGAGGGCTTAGTTACTGTTTCTAAAAACAAATCAGAGGTGATTGAAATGTTATACAATCATATATTACATTCGTCTTTCAATTAGTATATGTTCTCAAATATATATATATATATACACACACACACATCAAGATTTAGGGGGTGTTTGTTTTTTCTGCAGGAAAAGGTCTGCAGTCTGCGGACCACTACTCTAGACATCTGCAGGAGAAGTGGTGGACCGAAGGTCTGCGGTCTGCAAGAAGAAGACTGTTTGTTTTTTAATGTCTGTAGACTGCTATATAAATTAATGGTGGTAGTGTACGGTGGTGGTGTATAGACGATTGTGGTGGTGGTGGTGGTGGACGTTGACGGCGGTACGGTGGTGGTGGCGGTGGTGGTGGACGACGATGGTGATGGACGACGATGGTGATAGTGGACGGTGGTGGTGGTGAAGAGAAGTAGAAAAAAAAAAATGGAGAAGATGTTAGAAGATGTTAGAAGACATAGGTTAATGTCTTCTCCAAGAAGATGCCACGAAAACCTTTTTGAGTGAAATGTCTTCCAAAAAACAAACAATCTGCAGAGCTCAACATCTGCGCGCGTCTGCGCGGCGCAGACAAAAGAGGCCAGAAGCTCTTCTGGCCAAAAAACAATCACCCCCTTAGAGTTAGCCCTCCAAATCCTTCCCCTCAAAACCCCTTCAAAACCCTACATCCCAACAGACCCTAAATAATTTGCTTATTCATATCATGTGGTCTAAGAGGAAACAGCTTGGTATCCTTTAACCAAGATTTCAGACCTTGAACCTCTAAATGGAGCAACACGCCACAAAATGTAAGACAAATATCTAAGATATGTATAATTACATATAATTGGCTTACCGCATCCATTAGTTCTTGTATCTCTGTATCCTTTAAAGTCGACCCATATTTTCTTAAACCGGCTTTAAGTGTTAGATTTAATCGGGTTTGTTCACATATAACCGAATGGGTAATGAGTCAATGTTCGGGTCAGTTAGTATAGAGTCAATTAGTGTGGTGTCGTTTAGTGTGTTTTACATATTTAATTAATTTAAATAAAAAACAGCAGTTTCTAAAAGAGGCAGTTATGGGTAGTTATTTTCTGGAAGTTGTATTAGTTAGTAATAGATGTGTTGATTAGTGTCAATAGTTGTGTTGGTTGATGTCAATAAATATTCCAGGAACATAGCATTCCTGTATGTAATTCACAATCAATAAAAATTCTATTCTGCATACCAATCTGTTCTTCCTATCAGTTTTCTAACAATTGGTATCAGAGCGTGTGCGATCAGCGGTAAGAAAAGGGAGATCTGCCTTGACAACAGATCAAAATCTTTGACAAGATTCTTCCTCGCCTAGGACAAGAATAGCAAGTGGCTATTTTTTTCCTTTGGCAGAAGCATTTCAACCAAACAGTCCGGGAAAAACGAATCAGCGGGGTGGCTTTCGTTTAGCGGCTTGGAAGACGGAAAAGCAGGGGCTTGTCTTCTCTTCTGGTTGATGGTCGGTCGATTGCAGGTGGCTTACGACCCATGAAGGAATCAAAGTCTAAGAATTTTGTGAAAATTGTCATAGGAATTAAAGTCATGCAATGGAAGACAATAGGCAGATTGTGACTACAAGGGAGAATAGTTCACTATCTTTTACGGTTCCAATTCTAAGTGCTACAAACTACACTATTTGGGCTCTGAAGATCAAAGCAATTTTTAATGTTAATGGGATTTGGGAGGTGATCGAACCAGGAACAGAAATTGATCCAAAGAAGAACAATATTGCAATAGCATACCTGTTTCAAGCTTTGCCGGAAGAGATCGTGTTACAAGTTGCCCAGTTTACTGAAGCAAAAGAAATTTGGGATGCTTTGAAGACTCGCTTTGTTGGTGTTGACAGGGTTAAAGCGGCACGATTACAGACACTTGAATCAGATTTTGAGAATCTAAAGATGAAGAACAATGAATCACTTGATGATTTTGCTGGTAAAATTAGTCAACTTGCAACACAAGCAAACAACCTTGGGTCTGCATTTGAAGACAAAAGATTGGTTCAAAAGCTTTTGGGTTCTGTACCTGAAAAGTTCATGCAGATCGTTGCTGCAATTGAACAGTTTGCTGACATTAACACAATGTCGTTTCAAGAAGCGGTTGGAAGATTAAAAGCATTCGAGGAACGCATCAAAAAGCCAACTGAGGAAGGAGATACGCATGGTAAACTACTCTTCACTAAAGGTGATGGAAAAGAGAAGGTTCAGGAGCACAAATGTGAGCATTGTGGTTGCTGGAGCTTAAACCGAAAAGACTTTGGACGTGGCCGAGGTAGAGGTCAGGGGTCCGGGAAAGGTCAAGATGGTGGTCGGTTTAAGCGGGATAAGAGTCACGTTAGGTGCTTCAAGTGCAATGAGTTAGGGCATTTTTTGAACGAATGTCCAAAATGGGATCAAAAGGAACAGATTGCAAATTTGATTGAAGATGACGAACCAACGTTGCTGTGAAGATCAGTGTGAACAAACAACGATTAAGGGCGTGATTGTTAGATTTAATCGGGTTTGTTCACATATAACCGAATGGGTAATGAGTCAATGTTCGGGTCAGTTAGTATAGAGTCAATTAGTGTGGTGTCGTTTAGTGTGTTTTACATATTTAATTAATTTA